TTTCACGAAAGTCAAAATACCAAACACCATCTGCCCATTTATTCGTTCAATTCGAGTACGTTTCTATTAAGAAATGGAGCTCGTCTACATTATCCTTCATTTCCATTTTTAACAACATAAAGGACCATCAGAAAATCAAAGCTACAATTTCCTTATGCATTCTAGCAATCCATATGTTTTTTCTACGTTCAAACGGTCACCAATTTAACCTTCTTTCACGCCCCATCACTAAAAATATTGCAATTCAATTTATCCATAAACAGTCGAATTCTATGTTGATGAGAATTTTACAAATTCTACATATAATCGCCCAAAATAACCTACGAAAAACACATCAATTACTCACGGAGATGGCGTCTGCAATCTTAATAGTGGATTTACTCTCCTCCCGAATCTTCTGAATGCGATGCCCTGATCTTCCGATGACCTTCCCAATCTGCTTCGAAGGCACCACAATGCGGTATATAACGTCGTTAGTGGACTTCACGCGCCGCTTCCCCACCGGCAGATCAGTTGAGGTCTCTGCCTCCGCGTCCTCCGTTCCGTCCTCTTCGCGCGGTCTCTTAAGAGTTGCGGTAGTGGAAGCGCCGGCGGCCGCGGAAGGACCGGAATTATTCGAACCAAACTCAGCCTTAATCGCCGGCGCCGACGATGCTGGCGGAGTGTTAGGGTTTGGCTTTGGACGAGCTTGGGTGTGAGGCATGGTTGTTGTGAGGAGAGAGAGAAGGCACTACGAATGAAAGCCAGTCTTTGTGTCGAGGGTTTTATTTATATATTTTTAGAATAATAATAATTTGCCAACGACCAAAAGTACGTTTTCCAAAAACGTGTTTCTACGAGCGTTTTCGGACATCAACAACTTTATATTCAAATTACTGTAAGTCGCGATATTCTGAATTCACACAAGGGAAACCGACAACGAGAAAAGACCGAAAGAAGAGAGGGATGAGAAGTTTCGACAAACTTCTGTTGCATTTCACGACCGTTTTGGTACCATATTTTAAAGGTTCAGTTTCTTGTGTTTTAACAAATTACATAGTTGTTGAAAATTAGTTTACCGCAATTTTAAATATAACATTACAGTAAGATTTGTTATTTGGTTGTTGGAGTAGGATATATTAACCCTGTTTTATTCTTCTTTGAGTCTCACGAATTAGAAGAATTTTGCAGTGGCGTATTACATTTAACGAGTCCAACTAGTCAGACCCGTTAAAATCATATATGGGTCGGGTTAGGAGCTTACAAACCTGTTTTAAAAATAAAGTTGGGCCAGTATAGTGAATATTGATTGTCGGGCCATTCTATTTTGAATAAATAAAGTTGAGCTCGATCAGACTAAAATATAAGAATTGCACAAACCACTAACACCAAAATTATCAAACTCTTTCATATGTGTTGGCACCAAATTTCCGTTAGTGAAGATTGAAGAAATCCGCCATACGTGGAAATTAAAGATTGACAAAGATTTGTTTTCCATGTTTATTTTGGAATTAATTAGAGTCTTATTTTTGTAATATTGTTATTAGAACTTAGATTTATTTCCATGTATTGTATTCTAGTTAGGTATCTTTTGTATTTATCTAGAATAGAAGTAGAAATCGACTAGGATTCTATTACCTAGTTAAATCGATTTCTTAGGGCCCAAGTTAGGTTTAGGGTGGAGATTTAGTGCCTATATAAGGCCATCAACCTCATATGAGTCCGATGGAGCTTTAATCGAGAATATCCCAGCATAAAGGCTTTGAAGGGTGCAGCCCGTGCTGCAGCCCTGTCTGCACGACAGGTGTGGCAACAGAACAGGTTTCTTCTACCAGGCCATAAAGAAGATCGGCGTTTCGGGAGAAGTGCTTAAAAGATCTCGGGAGAGGTCGATCCGCCGTTTGAAGGAAGTTCAACATTGGAGGAAGTCCAAGAGTGCGGATGGAGGAATTGCTTTGATTTTCAACAAGTTCGAGTCGTGTGCAAGAACGGCGTATCACATAAAGAGGGAGTCTTTAGTGTTTTATTAAGTCCTATTAATGTACACATAAATCTGAACTAGTTTTGCAAGTCCTCGTGGATGTAGGGTACGTTTGTATCCGAACCACATTAAATTGTTGTGTTCTTTATTCTGCTTTTCGTAGATTTATTACTGTGACAACACAACAATTCTGTTACGTCACCTAATGTCGTAACAAGTAGTCTGTCTCAACAGATGAGTAGATATCCATAGGCATTCAAAATTCAACAATTGGCATCAGAGCGGGTCACTAGATATACTTAGTGTCTGATTTTGGGTTTTGGTTTATTTGCTTTGTTTATTGGATGACGTGTGTCCACAAGGAAGGTTGAGACGGAAGTTTGTCACGGCATTCACCCAATTCCGCTGCGTTGTAACGTGCCCCGTGATGGGACACTCTGATAGAAGACCAAGACGGGTGAAGAAAAGTGATATCTTTGTTGCAGGGGGAGTAAATCTCATCTGCAGGGGGAGTTCTTGTTAAACATGGATTCTAACCAATCTATGCCAAAGGGGGAGATTGTTGGCACCAAATTTCCGTTAGTGAAGATTGAAGAAATCCGCCATACGTGGAAATTAAAGATTGGCAAAGATTTGTTTTCCATGTTTATTTTGGAATTAATTAGAGTCCTATTTTTGTAATATTGTTATTAGGACTTAGATTTATTTCCATGTATTGTATTCTAGTTAGGTATCTTTTGTATTTATCTAGAATAGAAGTAGAAATCGACTAGGATTCTATTACCTAGTTAAATCGATTTCTTAGGGCCCAAGTTAGGTTTAGGGTGGAGATTTAGTGCCTATATAAGGCCCTCAACCTCATATGAGTCCGATGGAGCTTTAATCGAGAATATCCCAGCATAAAGGCTTTGAAGGGTGCAGCCCGTGCTGCAGCCCTGTCTGCACGACAGGTGTGGCAACAGAACAGGTTTCTTCTACCAGGCCATAAAGAAGATCGGCGTTTCGGGAGAAATGCTTAAAAGATCTCGGGAGAGGTCGATCCGCCGTTTGAAGGAAGTTCAACATTGGAGGAAGTCCAAGAGTGCGGATGGAGGAATTGCTTTGATTTTCAACAAGTTCGAGTCGTGTGCAAGAACGGCGTATCACATAAAGAGGGAGTCTTTAGTGTTTTATTAAGTCCTATTAATGTACACATAAATCTGAACTAGTTTTGCAAGTCCTCGTGGATGTAGGGTACGTTTGTATCCGAACCACATTAAATTGTTGTGTTCTTTATTCTGCTTTTCGTAGATTTATTACTGTGACAACACAACAATTCTGTTACGTCACTTAATGTCGTAACAAGTAGTCTGTCTCAACAGATGAGTAGATATCCATAGGCATTCAAAATTCAACAATATGATTTCAATTAAAAAAAGAAAAAAAATACGATTTTCGTCCCTCAAAATTTGCACTAATTTCACATTTGGTCCCTTATGTTTCAAAAATTAAACCCTTTTAGTCTTCTTCATCAATTTTTGGTTAGTACTAACGGAATCAAGCGTGTGTCGGCGACTGCCTTAACTGACAAACTAACGGTAAATTAACGAAAATGACCAACAAATGTTGAATTATTGAAATATGAGGGACAAAATATATGTTTCTTATGAACATGGGAGACCAAATGTGAAATCAGCGCAAACTTGAGGGATGAAAACTGTAATTTTCCCAAAATTGCACGAAATTTCACATGTTCGAAAATAAAGGATTCATAGAAATAAAATTGAAACAAAAAGGACTTGTAGCTAAAAAAATTTTTCTCTCATGCACCGTAAACTAGTTATAGTCCAATTTAGGGAGTAATGACACACTTGTGTCAGTTGATTTGATTCAGCAAATATACATATACATATTATTCAGAACATGAACTATATATATGCACTATATATTTTAATCTATTGCAAAATTAACGCAAAGAATGTAAATAACGAGTTATTAATTTTGGGTAATAAATACATATAACGGGTTATAAATTTTGCGCAAGAAACGTGCATAACGAGTTATTAGTTTTGCGCAAAAATGTAAATAACGGGTCATTAACTTAGCGCAAAAAATGTATTTAACGAGTTATTAATTTAGCACAAAAAATGTACTATTACTAGTTCATTTTTGTAATTAAAGACACGATAAATATGTTATTTTTACTTAATATTTTCATATAAAAAAGGAATTAAGTAATACAAACACAAAACCTAAGGAACCACATGATGTATATTTTTACAGTTATATATTATGTACGAAAAGAAAATAAATAAATAAAACTTATCTTCGCTTCAAACCCTAAAAAATATCAAAAAGAGAAAACTACGAGTCTTGTCGTCGAAGAGCGAGAGTGCTTGGCCGATGCTATTGCCATGTTATGGCCGGAGTCAACAGTAGATGATGTGTCATGGCTTCAACCGCAGTCAGAGCCACGGTTTGGAGATGATGTAAAATCGCTTCTATTGTCATTCACAAATGACATCGGTTTTGAAGTAATTATAACACCTTTTGAAGTAACACCGTTCGTCATCTTTTTGTGACGACAAACAAGTTAAAGAAGGCGTAGATCCTATATATGCCTACCCCTCGACTGCTTCAACCACCCTCTCCGGTTTTGCAAATTACTGCAGCATATCAACCACAAGAGGAACATAACATGGAGCGAGAAAGAATGCGAGACGATTCTCTGATACTTTATGGAGCTTCAAAGCAAAAAAAAGACGAAATTGGGTGGTGCAACTAATTAAAGAAGGAAGCCAACGAAGAAAATAGATGTAGATGATTATTCTTGAATGCTAGAAGGATGGGTGAAACGAGTGAACCAGAGGTCGTTTATCGGAAAATTTTCTGGATACAATGATAAGAAATACTACGCACCCGGTGTACGTCTCAAGAGCATTTAGATAAAAAATTGAAGCGCTCAATTTCTCTCAATTTTTTTTTTAAATTTAATTTGCTATCATTTTTTTTATTTAAGTTCAAATTGTTGTGAAAATAAAAAATAGTCTTATAAATTAGAAAAATAAAGAGTAAGTTTTTCCTCATAACAAAATTAAATCCAACCAACACAAGTAATATTCAGAACGTGAACTATATATATGCATTATTGCAAAATTAGCGCAAGGAATGTGCATAGCGAGTCTTTAGAATTGCGCAAGAAATACGTATGCCGGGTTATAACTTTTGCGCAAGAAATGTACATAACGAGTTATTAGTTTTGCGCAAAAAATGTACATAACATGTTATTAATTTGGTGCAAAAAATATATGTAGCGAGTTATTAATTTAGCACAAAAAATATTATTAACAAGTTATTTTTGGCGAATTAAAGACACGGTAAATATGTTCTTTTATTTATTTATATTTATATAAAATACTTATCAAGTCATTCAAATAGTCTTATAGCCAAAAATTCGAAAAGAAAAAACAATAAATAAAGAATCACTATTTTTTTCCTTCTAATTTGTAGTAAGCAATAAATTTTGGACTCAACCAATAAATGCTTACCGATTAAGAGATAATTGTCCATAAAGAGTCTCATTAATTGTTAACAAACACAGCTTAAAATTTGTGAGTAGTTTTTCACGATTATATTGATTTTACCCACACAATTAATCACACATAGCTGTATATATCTCTATATAACAAATCACCAATTAATAATCAAATAAATCAACTATATATTAATGTGGGTCTCGAATTAAATATAATTGTCCATAATATATTTGAGTTTTACCAAATATTTTAAATTGGTTAATTGAAAAATAAGTAATAAATTCTTATTTCTTGAATTAACTAATTTGACACAAAATAATTAGTCATAACGTATCAAAGAAATCCTAGCTCGTGTCTACAAAAGAAGGCATTTGGTGCAGACAATAGTCAGACTCACATAGACACAAATCAAACTATCTCAAGCTTAAGTTTCGAGTCTTCAACGCGAATTCATAACATAGTTGAATTCAAGGTGTTCGTGATCTCTTCCGCATATTTTGGAGGAAATAATTATATTACATCCGTTCGATTCAAGAACAAACTTCTAAACCCTTGAATTGAATTAGCTAGGAGAAGAAGAAGAAAAAAATATGGGAATTCGCGGAGATCGTAATCCATTTATTTTGACTAATAAATTCGTTTATTAATTACCATTTTTCTTCTCTAGTATACTTTATTTTGCAGACAAGAAAAAAATTGTGGCTAAGAATATCTAACATAGAACAAATCGATTTCTAAAAGTCTTTATAACAAATTCATGGATACTACATGTCCATGTACTTCCCAAACCAGCTTATCTAAATTAAAAGTATTATTTGTCTATATATCCTATGTTTTTGTGTTGACATGAAAAAGTGTTCATATGATCAACATTTACCATTTAATTTCTATGCTAAAAGATTCAAAGATGGCAAAAATAAATATAATAAATAAGTTATTTAATTAATTTAGCGTAAATATTACGTCATTGATCACGTAAGATTGAACGTGAATGTACGTATACGTCGAAGATCATGCAACCATGCAAATATGGAATCTCTAAATCCGTTGACGGTTATTATATCTTTTTGTAACGAACTCGTTGCATGAATATAAACAATAAACGACAAATATATTAACTCCGAATACATATCATATTACACGACAATAAACACGCAACGACAAAAATCTACTTTTTTTTTTACATTTAGCATAATTAATAATGTGCAACCGATTCGATGATCAAATGTTATATGTCGACTGTCGTTATGCAAAAAAGTTTTATTTTGTAAGTTAGTTAATAACTAAGTACGTAGACGATCGTTTAATAACGAATACATTGCGAAATGTTAAAGTTTATAATACAAATAATTATATGATAAAATTTAATACAAATACATTGCGTATGACAATATATAATATCAATTGGTATTATATCTTCAAAGACAATAATAGTATTAATTAAAGATATAATTAAATCTTGTTAGCTAGTACAAACTAATTATTAAGATATAATTAAATCTTGTTAGTATATATCCTATTTATTCTTCTAAAACAAAAGTATGAAATGAAAAGATGTTTATAATGTCAAAAATGTAAAACACCAAAAAGATTAGTTCAACATCAATGAATAAATAAAATATAATAAAATAAAATATAATATAATATATAAATATTCTGAATGAATTACAAAAATAGGGCAAAAATCTTGTACCGAATTACCAGAATCTAAATGGTTCCGGTTTAAAAAAAAAAACCTACGGCGGTCGGGATATGAATGTATAGATACAGATATAGATACACAATGAGTGTGCTTGCCTATATAAATGTACATTGTGTGTCATCTTCTTACACACCTTACTTTCTCTCTCTATCTCTACCCTCACTCTCTCTCTCTCTACCCTCACTCTCTCTCTCTCTAAAACCAGAAAATTTGCTTTTTTCCTTTCAAGCTTTGTCCATTTTCTCTTCGCTTCGGTTCTATCGCCGTATACACATTAATCACAGCCATTTTCACACACACACACACACACACACAAACACACACACACAGATATATATATATATACATATACATTTACTGTAAAAATGGAGTTCGGCCGTCGATCACTAGTACTCAGTTAGGGTTTTTTGTGTCTGCGTTTTTTTTTTGGTGAATTCAGACGGTGTCGTTTCGAAAAGCTATGGATTCCAGGGTTCCAGCGCCGCCGTCTAAGCCGCTGCACAACTTCGACCTGCCAATCACTCTCAGGTGGAGCAAGCTGGACGGAAATGCCCCTGCACCCGGCGGCGTCAACCGCCAGTTACCGTTCCGCCACGTCAGATCGCCGCCGCGGAGGCCTAAGACGGTGTTCCCCGCCTCCCTCCTCGAGACGCTGTCCGGAGGTTCAGTTTCGTCTCCGCCGCCGCCGCTGCCGCTGCCGCCGCCTCCGCCGCGCCGTCAGTCCTCGTCTGGGGAGATCTCATCGCGTCAGTCTCCTTTTCCCGGCGGTGGGTTTCAGACGAAACAGACTCCGATCCGTGGAGACTCGTCATCGTCGTCGTCGTCCAAACCGTCTCTGCAGGCTCAAGAGCGGAAGAAACCCTCGGCGGTGATCTTCGGCGGCGGCGGAGGCGGCGAACCGGATCAGCAAATGCTGTCGTGGTTCCGCGGCCAAGCTGCGCGGAGTTTCCCGAGCCGCGATTGGCCGCCGCTGGAGCCGCCGTCGAAGAAGACTGATCAAAGTGCTTTGATAAAGCACAGCAGGAATAATTATCCCTTCGACACCATAAAAAACGGGGCTTACTCATCATCATCCACCTCCGCCGGAAAATCTGCGGCGGCGGCGGCGGAGAAAGTTGACGAGAAGAAGAAATCCAAGGGCAAACAAGTTGACGGTGACCCCGGCCGAATCATCAAGAAATCCAAAATCGTCATAAAAATCCCCTGCAAGAACAACAACAACAGCAGCAGCAGCAACAAAGCACCACCGCCACCAGATCAGAAAAAACAAATCCAAACCCACCAAAAATCCTCCGCCGGCGAAAATCGTCACCGTGATCAGTGCAGAGATAAAGGAAAGAATGTCGTTGTTGAAGACGAAACCAAGATATGGAATCTGCGTCCCAGAAAGACCACCCCATCCAAGAAGAGCAGCAGCACCAGATCGGGGAAGAACGCCACCGTTGCAGCTGTCGGCGGCGGCGGAGCAGACAAAGGTGGCGGTGGTAATAAAGTTTCTGGATCGATGCCTGAAAGGAACAAAGCTGGTGGCAACGACAATCAGTCTCCTCCGCCGCCGCCAAAAAATGAAGGCGGCGCCGCCGCCGCAGAAGAGAAGAAAGCGGGAGGGGCGGCGGAGAGGTGAAGAAGAAGGAGATCCATAAAAAGCCAACCCTAACAATTGCATTAACTAAAAGAGAGATCGAAGAAGATATCTATGCCCTAACCGGAGCAAAGCCTGCCAGAAGGCCGAGGAAGAGGCCCAAGAATGTACAGAAACAACTCGATGTAAGAACATTCATTTCTTTTTATTTTATTTTATTAAATTAAATCTTTTTCCTTAATTAATTAATTATTTTTTCCTTAATTAATTAATTTAATTTATTACAGATGGTGTTTCCTGGACTTTGGTTAGTCAACAATTAATCCTGATTGTCTCAAGGTATTTATATATATATTTATCTTAATTAATTAACCTGTGTTTATTCATTGCTTGTTCATCACTTATATATATACATATATATATATATATATATATATATATATATATATATATATACATATGTGTGTGTGTGTAGGGTTAGATGAAGAAGAAGAAGAAGTTTCTGGAAGGTGTTTTTAGGGTTGTTGGAGGAATAAATCTGCAGGTGGAGCTGCTGATGTAAGCTAGGGTTTGCTTTTAGTATTGTTTATTTCATGTTAAGTACTCTGAGTTAATTTCTTGTTTTTTTTTTTAATGTTTGTATGTATTTATAAATGTGATGTAATGGATTTATGATGTTTTGCTTAAGTATTTGATTTGGAGTTTGTTATGCAATTTTAATTTTAGTTATTTAATTTAATTATATTCTTCTGTGTTCAAAATTAATTTTTGTTGAATTAATTATTATATATGAGCATTATATATTGGTAATGATTTTTAAGAAGATTAATTTTAGTTAAATCAAATTAAAATTTTATTAACATGTATAAATGTCAATCTTTGCTGATTATATATATATACTGTGAAATAAAGGTTATATAATTAATTGTCATAAAATATTTAATAGGAAATTAACACAAAAAACTTTGTTATGTTGTAATATTAATTATAATAGGTACCTATATATATATATATATATATATATATATATATATATATATATATATATATATATATATATATATATATATATATATATATATATATATATATATATATTTTTTATATATTTTTTTATATATATTTTTATATATATATATACACACTCTCTCTCTCTATATATATATATATCACACACACATATATATATATATATATATATATGTGTATATATATATATATATATATATATATATATATATATATATATATATATATATATATATATATATATATATATATATATATATATATATATATATATATATATATATATATATATATATATATATATATATATATATATATATATATATATATATATATATATATATATATATACTAAAATTTACATAGAAAATAATTTAAAATTACAATTAGTTTCTCATAGAAAAAGAACATTGCCAATTTCTTTTTTTACCAATGACGGTAAAACATGAAAGTTAGGATTTTTTTTATTAGAAATTACAGTTTTTAAGTAATTTGATGATATAGTATTCTATTTTTTGCACTTTCTAGTTGCGAATTAAACTTCAGTTGGAAAGTTGAGAAAAAAAAAATGCTTTTATATTTTGCTAACCGAAAAAATAATTTTTTTTTTGATGGATCGGAGCTAACTGAAAAAATATTACAATCATTAAATGTTAAAAAAATATCCTAAGTGTAATGTGAATGATTTGTTATATATTTATATAGATGCAAAGTGCTATTAAAATTTCTGAGGGGTACAAAGTGCAGAAATTCAATATTTTAAGGGTGTAAAATTGAAACTTTTTTCTTAAAGGGCATCTCTGCCTAAATTAGAATATTCTTCACCAATTATATTCTACCCCCTGTTCCACAATAACTGTCTCTTTTTTAAAATATTTTTGTTTCGTATTATCTGTCACTTTAGATTTTCAATACTGCATTAAATGCATTTTTCCTGTTTTAACCTTATTAATGAAAGTCTAATCATTATTTTTCTATTATAAATCATTAAATAATAAAAGTTATTTTAGTTATTTTATATGATTTTTCTAAAATCAAAATATATTTATTGAGTTTCTTAATTTTTGTGAAAAGTGAAAAAAAAACATTTATTTAGAAACGAAGGGAGTATCTAATAAATAATATATAAAGTTATAACTTATAAACAATATATGAGATAGTTTGACATTATTGATTGACACGCAATGATACATAAACATGTATCAATATTGTGTAATTTTATTCAAGTGTATTATTCAACATAATCTATTGAAATTAATCCCACTATAAACAAACTATGATATGACACGTGATTAGCCCGTGCTTTACATTATCTGCCGTTCATTAATTAAATAAAAAAGAAAATAATTATATTATATTATATATATATATATTTAAAAAAGGAAAAGGGGGTGAAATTCTTTGTATCAAAACCTACGGCTGAGTACTGAGTTGAATTATTATTGCAGTAACCGTCTTCTCTTCTCTTCCATGCCATCGACGAATTCGTACTGCTTTCTCTCTCTAGAATCTCCGTTCATTTTCTCTCTCTTCAGGAACCGTTGCTGCAGGCACAAGCACACCGGTTCTGCTCGCCGGAATTTAATGGAAATCCGCCGCCGGTCACGGCTCAGATAGGTTTTTTTTATTCTCCGTTTTTGATTTTGAAAAAAAATTAAATTAAATTGGTGTTTTGAGAGAAGTGTTGATTTAATTGCTTTGGTGGATTCGACGGCGCCGTTTTGGAGAGTTTTTGGTAGTGCTTGCTTGCTTGGTTGCTATGACTTCTACAGTTCCGCCGTCGAAGTCTCAGCCGCTGCACAATTTCGACTTGCCGAATCTCAAATGGAAAAAGGACGGACACGCCACCGACCACCACCACAACCACCACCAACGCCGCCGCTCAATCAAATCTCCGTCGCGGAGGGCTAATACTTCCTCCGCCTCTCCCGTTCGCCAATCGCCGTTGCGAGATTCCGTCTCGGCGACGCCGCCGCGACTTCAGTCTCCGTTGGGGGACTCTGGTGCGCTGCCTTCGCAGGATTCTCCGGCTCACGGCGATTATTCGACGAATCGGTCTCCGATTCGCGGAGAATCGTCCAAACCGCCTCCGATTCGAGAGTGGACGAAACGGTCGCCGGTGGTTGGTGGTGAACCGGAGAGGCCGTCGTTGTTTCGCAGCCAAGCTGTGCAGGAGTCTGAGGGTTTGAGGAAGAGCGAATCTGCGTCGGTCGAGTACCCTAGAAATAATTCTAGGGATTTTGCTTTTGATAGCATAAGGAATGGGGTTTACTCATCAACTGCCGAACAGATCCAGGAAAAAAACAGGAAAAAATCCAAGGCAACAGAAATCGATGCATCCGGAACTAAGAGATCGAAGATCTTCATAAAAATTCCTGTAAGAACAACAAACTAGACGAAGAAAATCCACAGGAAGAACCACCGAAGATCGACAACAATGGCGAATATGGTGAAACTTGCGAGGTGCGAGAAGAGGGAAAGATTGATAACCACATCGACGAAGAAACCAAGACCTGGAATTTGAGGCCTCGAAAGCCCTTATGCAAAAGACAGAGTGTAAATGTTGTTGCAGAGAAAGGTAACTATTCTAGAATGCCCGAAAAGAATAAATCTCCGTCCCCGTTGATGGAAGCAGAAAGATCGGGCGAAAAAGAAGGGGATTGCGGTGGTGAGAAAAAAGTCTGCGGTGGTGGTGGTGAGAAGAAGGGAAAGAGAAAGCTGAGCATTTCAATTGCTTTATCGAAACAAGAGATTGAGGAAGACATTTATTCTCTGACTGGATTAAAGCCAGCAAGGAGGCCTAAAAAGAGAGCCAAGAACATACAGAGGGAGCTTGATGTAAGAAGCATATGATTTTATCTAATAATTTAATCTCAATGTTTTGAAATAAGCATATGATTTTAATTTGTTTACTTTTCTGTGAATTGCAGTTTGTGTTTCCTGGACAGTGGTTGGTTTCGATAACTCCCGATTCTTACAAGGTATCCGAAAATTCGCTCAAGGTATAGTCTCCGTTACACTTACTGATATTGAATTACTTTGTTATTCTGTTAGTTTGATTGTTCACTGATACAAGATTGACTGCTATATATATAGGGTTAGATGCTATCAACACGAAGATGAATGAATATGCCCCTCAAATGTGTTGTTTGGAAGATTTAAGGTACAATCCACAGAATCCACAGTAACTTGCATTGTGAAGGGGAAACGAAAAACGAGTGTTCTTGTTAGTGTTAAGGTTTATTTTACTGCTTTTGCTATTTCATGCTGGTGTCGAGCACCTGAGAAAACCTTTTTTTTTTTTTGTTTTTTGTTAGAAAATATATCAGTAGATGCAGTTGTAAATATGAATGTTTTTAAGATTATCATTTATTTACATTACTCATTTGGTGTTCGTTCGTTTTACATTTTCATAATCTGCTAGACTGTTCTTTGTTTGCCTACTACGGTTGTTTGAAATTAATCAGCATCAGAACAGTTGGACATTGGGTAATGGGTGTGTTAGCTGTGATTTAGTTCATGGTGTACGATTTTCGTATCATACCAATCTCCCCGTGCAGCATTCATTCATAGGCATATGAAATTGTTTATTTCAAGTAACTTAAAACCTACACTGGAAACGAGTGATTACTGCTTTGCTGAGGAATCAGAGATGAAGAATCTGTGATGTGTCTGCTTGCTTATGAAAAAAAAGGTACGCCCGATTTTTAGGGGTACTATGGTAAAAAGGACATCATATAGGTTTGGCTTCACTTGAAAAGGAATGAGATGATACTTTTCAATAGTTCTCCCTTCTTAGGTTGCTTTTACGCGTGAGTATGATATTCGTGTTTCTCTTACACGACGATATGTTCTAGTTCGACTTATAAATGCTCTGTACTGGACATTTTAGATGGAAAAATTATTTTAGTTCAAAACACTTATAAGACGCGTTCGTTGAAGCTTAAACATTCACCGTTTGCTACATTCGCCGAGGTTCTCGTTTATAGTTTACTACAACTGCAGCATATGTAAAATGTGAGTTGGAGTTCTGTGAGTAAGTATTTGTTCTACCATTCTGAATTTATGAGTTTTTTGTTTTACTCTGAAAGGGGTTATGAATTTGTGTGTGAGGTGAAAATCGTGTGGAGATTCTACACGCTTCTACAAAGCGCTACAAGTGTCACGTGGAATTGATGAACTCACGTTTTGCAGCATCTTTCTCCCGTTGAGATTAACTTTTATTAATAAACATTTGTAATTATTTCAAATTTTTTTGAAAAGTTTTTGCAGACCCTACTTCGTATCAAACTAGTGAATTAAATACGTCATAAATAAAGTTTTTGCAAATGTTTTTTAAAATGATTTTAAACACCTAATTTAAATATCATAATTCATAATAAATGAAAAATAAAAGTTTTATCTAACACTAAAAACTAAAGGGTAAATTATGGTCAACCTGTGAGGCAAATTCAAATTACAAAAAAGAAACTCCTCATGTTGGGTAATTATAACAAACTTCAACTATGAATCTTCTTACATGTTTATCTTTGCGGTGTCAAATTTAATGGAATCTTCTAGATTATGTGGAATATTTTCCAGTTTGTAGTCGTTTTACCCCATTCGAACTCCACATTTTAAAATAAGATGATCATGAAATGTATCTCTTGGCTTGTAAATATCAGATTGTGATGCATCACAAACTGCATTTTTGCATAAAACGAGTACAAACTAGAGAACGTTTTACGAAATCTAGAAGATTCTGTTTGTTGAATTTGACACTATAAGGTTGGACATATAAGAAGATTCATAGTTGATGGGTGTTGATTATAATTACCTAAACATGATGTTTTTTTTTATAATTTGACCTTACCTCAAGGAATGGGCCGTAATACAATTTATATTTTCTTAAACCGCCACCTAATATATCATTGCATTATATTAATGGGCCAAGATAAAGGCTAAAAGCCCATATCTTTCTGCATTTTCTTGTGTAGCCTAATTTATTGGCCCATTAAGCATCCACTAGTTGATACTCGTATCACTTCGGAAAGTTGCATGGGTATTATCAAAAATAAATAAATAATAATAATAATAATAATAAAAAAAAAATTAATAAAAAAAAGAGGCGTCAAAATCGGGGATTGAATTTGAACAGAGAGAGAAAATATAGGGGAAGTGGGGCAAAAATATAAAATAGTGGGTGTAGAACTGTAGATAATGCCAATAACCGCCTCAACCGCCACTTCCAAAATCCCCCCCAAACACGCGCCCACGCCAACACGCACACGCGCCCACGCACTAGAAATAATACTCACACTACTCCATAATACTAAAATCCGGCGACCAAAAAAACAAAAAACAAAAAATCCAGAATTCCTCTGAATTCATTCATTCATTCACTATTGCATGCATACTCACACTCACTCTGAATCAAACCCTAATTTTTTTTTATCACCTTCAAAAAATTCGCTCTTTCTGCAGTAGAATTTGAACTGCGTCGTCGTTCGATCGTTGTGGTTAATTGAGTTTCCGAATCGATGGTGACGGAAGGTCGGAGGAGAATTTCGCGCCGCCATGAAAACGGCGATCACGATCTGAGGAAAGGTCCGTGGAAAGAGGAAGAAGACGAAGTTCTGATCAACCATGTCAGAAAATACGGCCCTAGGGATTGGAGCTCCATTCGATCCAAAGGCCTCTTGCAGCGAACCGGCAAATCCTGCCGCCTCCGTTGGGTCAACAAACTCCGCCCCAATTTGAAGAAGTACGTTCCAGTGTGTGTTAATGTGTGTGTTTTTTTTTTAATTTTATTTAATGTGTGTGAATCAAAGTTTTGTGTTAATAGATGAGGAAAAAAAAAAAAGATGAATTTTTTTTTCACCGGCGAAATTTTTCCGATCAGTCATTTTGAGTTTGGTAAGTGTTTGATGAAATGCCTGTATGGTGCAGTGGGGTGAAATTCTCGGCGGAAGAGGAGCGAACAGTGATCGAACTACAAGCACAATTCGGCAACAAGTGGGCCCGAATCGCTACGTATTTGCCCGGCAGAACCGACAACGACGTCAAAAACTTCTGGAGCAGCCGGCAGAAAAGACTCGCGAGAATCCTCCAAACATCCGCACCATCTTCTTCATCTTCTTCCTCGAACAAATCCCACAAGATAATAATAACAAACAACGCTCCGACCGACCCGAAGGAAGACGAACCACCACTTGTCAAACCCCCTTCCAACTTTCTTCATGAGGTCAGAATCTAATTCTTTTACAATATAATTTGTTTTTATTTTTTTGTATTAATTCTGAAAAAAAAACATTTTTTTTCAGATGAAAGCGGTGTATCCGATTAGTGTACTCGGTTACGAGAACTGCAGCCAGTTTGGAATGGACTATAATACGGCACCGGAGAACGAGAAGAAGCCGTTGTTTGGGGAGCCACGATCTGATTATCTGACTCCATTTGCTCCGGTGGCACAGATTCAACCGGAGTTTCCTATGCCGTTGGAAAGCCAAGAGTTTATTGCGGGGCTCGTCGAACCGAATTTTCTTGATGTGTTTGGGCAGTATTCCGGTGTGGCTGCGGGCGGGCAGCAGTTTCCTATAATAGATGTGCCGTTTGTTGGGAAGAGGGAGAATATTCCGGATGTTGGTTTCATGGACGACTTTCCGTCGATCGACATGTTCCCGAGCCCATCGCGATGGTAGTTTGGTTTAGTTTACTTAGTTAATTAGCAATTGGTCTTAACTCTTTCAATCTTAACTCTAGTTAGGTGTTTGTGTAGTTGTTTGTTATATTCTCTCTCTCTCTCTCTCTCTCTCTCTCTCTCTCTCTCTCTCTCTCTCTCTCT